TTATATATATATATATATATATATATATATATAGTTGGAAACTCCCAATAACATCACCATTTTCAATGAACTTGGCATTTCTAGCTTCAATAATTTTTGTATTGTGGTTAGGACAATAAAATCTATACCCTTTAGATTTTTCTGGATAATTATTGAAGAAACCACTGGTTATTCTTGAGTCAAGTTTCTTTTCATGTGGATTATATAACCTTATTTCCGTTGAGCAATCCTAAACAAGCAGGTGTCTTAAACTTGATTTCCTTCCTGTCCACAGTTCAAAAAGAGTCTTTGGAACTGCCTTATTAGGAATCCTGTTTAATAAATATGCAGCGGTCTTTAAAGCATGCATCCACAATAATGAGGGTAAAGAAGAATTACTCATCATACACCTAATCATTTCCATTAGAGTACGATTTCACATTTCTGCAATACCATTTTGTTGTAGTGTTCCTGACATAGTCTATTGAGCACATATGCCATTAGTTTGAAGGAATTTAGCAAATGGATCTGGATATTGTTCAAATTCATTGTAAGTTCTATAATATTCACCGCCTCTATCAGACTTGATAATTTTTACTTTTCTGTCTAATTGTTTCTCAACCTCAGTTATATACACTTTTAAGGCATCTATATCTTGAGAATTTTGATGCAATAAGTAAACATACCCATGACGTGAAAAATCATCAATAAAGGTGATAAAATATTTCTCTCCACCAAAAGATGAAACATCAAAAGATCCACAAATATAAGTGTGTATAATTTTAAGGAGTTGTGTGCTTCTTGTGGTGGCTTTCTTAAGTGTGTGATTTGTGTATTTTCCTTTAATACAATTCACACATATATCAAGATCAGTAAAATCCAATTCATTAAGGATTTTATTCTTTACTAATTTTTAATTCTTTTTTTGGATATATAACCCAAACGTTTATGCCACAAATAAGTTGAGCTTTCATTCATAAAACCACATTTAGTAACAATATTATGATGCAAAGTCATCAAAGTCTCAGAGAAAGGTTACCTAGTTTCAACTTATATAGGTCATCACAAAGAATACCGGAACCTATGAGATAATTGTGTTTAAACAAACTGAAACAATCATTTCCAAATTTAAAAGAGTATCCAATAAAATCAAGTTTAGACAATGAAATCAAATTACGAGAAACATATGGGACATAAAGTGTTTGAAAAAGGTCTAAATGATGTCCAATATCTAAAATCAACTGATATGTTTCAATAGCTTCAACCGACGCTTTGACTCGGTTTCCCATGAAGATAAATTTTTCATTTGAGTTTATGATTTGGGTTGTAAGGAATCCTTACATCATTTTAGAAACATGAGCAATACAATTAGAATCAATCCACCATATATTATAAGGCCATGTATTATAAGGAACTTCTGCCAAATTTGATTCGAAAAATACAGAAACACAAAGTTTACCTTTCTTTTCGAACCAGCCTTTGCGCTTTTGACACTCATTTTGATATTGTCCAGGCTTTCTGTAAAAGTGGCACTTAATTCCTTTATGTTGCTCTTTGTGAATTGGGGCAGACAACACATTTATCTTTAGTGGTTCTTGCTTACCCTTTCCATTCTTTTTTCCAGGTTTCTTTACAGCTCTTCTTTGATGACCCGTGAGATTAATTGAGTGATTTGTTCCTTTCTTAAGTCTTGCTTCTTCTTGAATGAGCGTACATTGTAGTTCATTCACATTCCACTTATTTTTCATAGTGTTGTAGTTCATGTGAAATAGAACATACTCAGAAGTCAAGGAGTTAATGATAAATTGCACAAGGAAATTTTCATTCACTTCCATTCCCAGGGTCTTAAGTCTTGCTGCTATGTTCATCATTTCAACGACATGCTCATACATAATATGAGAATCATCAAATTTTATGTTGGTTAACGTACTCAATAGTGTCACAACAAGAGACTTATCGACAAAGTCAGACTGAGAACAATTCTCAGCACATTTCATAAATTCCTTAGCACTTTCAGTGTTAGAAAATGTACACTTAAAAAACATTAACATTCACATAAACATTAAGCTTAATCTGCTCGATTTTTTCTAAGCTTTATAGAAAGATTTTTGTTTGACACTGCTAAAATCAGTAAGAGCAAGGGGTTTCTCAATCGTGGGCGCCAAATCAAGATCCAGAACACCAAGGTGAAACTGAACTTGCTCACATCATTCAGAGAAATTAAGCCCATTGAAAGTTTGAACAGATGTAGCTTGCGAATGAAGAGAAACAGGAGTAGTTACTGCAAATAAATAAAACATGCTAGTACATTAATGCTTCAAACTTTAAACTTACATTAATATTCAAAAAACAGATTAAAATAATAATCATAATAATAATTGTGTATTGAAATCTCCTTTGGGTGATATATCAATACACGATAATAATCATAATTGAATAATAATATAATTGATGCTTGACTTAAATTTAATATAATTGGTAATTGTTTATACTCAAATTAGACATGTTTATTATTTTTGGATATATAAACATATCTTAACTAAGTATATAAATAGACTACAATTATATTCAAAGATTATAAAACAAATGATCAACCTTTGGGCGATCTAAAAATATTTTATAATCAATGAATTTTAATCTTTTTGTAATGAAATGTTAAATTATTTCATAACAAGCATCACATACTCGTGAGTAATTGAATTTCTTTAATTTAATTTAAACTTATTAATTTGGTCACTTTGGTGACTAACAAATTAAATATAACATAGACATTAAATAAATAATAATTTTAATCACATCAATTTACTTTAATTTTATTGATCTAATTCAAGATCTAATTCACAATGGAAATTTATTATAATTAACATAAATAAAATTATATGAAAAATCATAAATTTAGTAATCAAAGCTCTGATACATATTAGAAATTCATGTTTAAACTTTATGACACAAATTCCAAAAATACATAATAGTCAAGTTCTTTTAAATTCATGATTTTTACATATCTATAAGAAAGTATCGCATACATGTATTCATGATGAAGAAATTTGATCTTGAAGAGATGAAGTTTCTCCCTCTACTTTTTGATGGAGGGAAATGTACGGGGCGTGTTAAGAAGAAAGAAGACTCGTTATCTAAATCATGCTCTGTTTAACCACCATCCATTAAGGGGGTTACAAACCAATAGAATTTATGATAATTTAATAAATTAATTGATTTTTTTTATTATTAAAATCAATGACATAAGTTAGTAAATCTTATTCATTTAAGGGATCACATGAGTTATAAAATTAATATCAT